TAGTACGCTTTTATATTCCAAGATTTAATACACAAGTGATGTTACATGTGGCATGCTATGGAGGCGGAGCTTATCAGCAACTAAAGTCTGTTTCAGTATTTATCAATATAGGACAATTTTGATATTCACGTGAAAGTTCAAGTACGTGGACGTATTAAAATGATGTTAATATCACTAATTACTTAAAGAAATAAATGCTGCTGTGTATACTTTAAAGTTCTTGTTACTAGAAATCATGTCCACTCATTGTTCTATGATAGGAAAATTTGTCTAACGCTAATGGAAATATAAAGGTACAGTTTTTGTTGCACAGAGCTTTACATTACGATGTTGTTAGAACATTTGTTACTGGAGGAATAATATGCTATTAATCTGAATTCCCTTGTTATTCTCAATAACATTAACAAAATACAGCATTATATTGCCTCTAATGAATAAATGCACCGATCATTTGTATGTAATGTTATTGTAAGATTAATGTTAAAATGATACTAACCATGCTCCTCAACAACAGACATTGTTTGTAAAGCTTACGGGGGAGTTGTTCAATTATCAAATATTCAAGATTCAATATTCAGACAACATCATTTATATAGCACAAAACTCTAAACAATTTGACACAGTACAGAAGTGCTCTGTGCAAAGTTTAGATAAGAAATTGTTTGACAATAAAATTTATTTTAAAGAATTTGTATCATATAATTATGTTATTTTGTTTTGATATGATACATTTATCATGAGAGTTGTTATTTTTTCTAATAATTGATTCCAACACTATGCTGAAATATTGAAATTTGCTCACGGGTGTGCTAGGTGTGAGAGAACATGTTGAACTTTTCACTGTGTGTCATGAACAGACTCGTAAATCCATTTATGCGAATACATTTGATTTATTGTTTTCACTGCTCGCTCTGGTAAAACCTTCCTTTGATCAGAATAAGCCCAATAAGGTGTGGCTACATTTCATATAAAATAGTTAAACCATTTTGCATTAAATAGTTTAAATTGTAGAAAAAAATCTCATGACGCTCTCGTCATATTTTCATTATGCTTTGCACTTGTTAATTGTGATAGAGGTTATGTTGCACGTGGAATGGCTTATACAATAAAATTGCTTCAATTATTTTAGGATACACTCTGAATATAGAGTAGATCCAGTAGAATAATGATGTGCTGTATATATGGACATATTCGAAGATTCTACAATGATCGTAGTGATTCAACAAATTATTTAGTCTCCAGTTTGAAACTCATGAATAATAACGAAGTTACATTCTCCTTTTATGAGAATTTCGTTGCATGTTTTGATAAGAGATATCTTAACACCCTTTTAAATTTCACTTAAAACATCAATGAGAACAATGGCGAAATTTTATTTGTTGATTAATTCGTAATATTACAATAAATTAGCCTTTTCAAACTGTTCAATACATCATAAATGGTAAAATATTTGCGACCAGACCTCCACAAATAGGCAATTTATGAAATAATTTAATTATGTCACATTTTTAGACGTCTGAAAATTTACCATTCTCTTTTATAGTATTGAAATTTAAAGTTTACTTTGATAGCATGTTTTATACGCTTAGATCGAACAGAAATTTAAAAGCTTATTTGTAAACGTTTCAAGCTGGATATAAAAAGTGTTCTTGTCTTTTTTCGCTGGAAATATCCTCAGTAAAAAGTTTGATTTTTAGTTCATCATGTCTGTCATTAAACTCTGCCATTTGTAATCAGTGGTTTAACATGACAACATTATCTCATTTATGTAAATATATCTCCAGTATGAGACAACTGATGACAAGATGAAGTTCGCGAGACAAACTTAAAGCAAACTTCAATGGGACTAATTTTCAAAAGATTAAGGGTAGAATCCTTTTTAAAATTGCATTTTATGAAACTGTATTTTTACCAAATTTCCTGACTAATTGAGGCAGTTGTTTATGCAAATGGAATAACAACAACACTGCTATATTAATGAAATATATTATACGAAAACTTATGTTTACTCATTCTGGCATTGCATGGTTTGATTTTAGTTCGGGGAATGCCCTTTTTAGAATAATTACCAAGACGTAAATATCTTACAATACTGAAGGTTAGTCTCATATTAATGTCATAGTTATTACAATAGATTTGGTCATTTTTATGATTGCCAGCAGGTGTTTTAATCGTCCAATATTATTAAGCCAGAATTGTTTTTATGCATTACTAAGAGACACAATGGGGTCTTCGGAAAAAGACGATCTTTATTTGCATTATTGTTTGACATTTTAAGGTTATTGACTAAACTTATTGTTACTTTTATTACTCTTCCATAGTGAATATCAAGAATTAATGACATGCGGGGTTCTTTGATGCATGTTTATGATGTATGTTTATGGCAATACGAACCAGTTTAAGAACAAGCGTTTCTTTGTTTTGAAAAAAATAGTGTGTATAACCATCAGATGATAATTTTGTCGTATATCATCATATAATAATAAGGATACATGTACTAACATAAAGAAGAATAAGAACAGAAACGTAACTTTATGCTTTCTGGAGTTTGTAAAACCATCGAGACTTATGATGACATTGGTTTCATAACTTTGTGTTTGACTACAAAAACAAAATATGTCGACTTCATATATTGCTGAACATATATATGATCACAAGCTTAATTATTATTATTTCTTGCTTTCGTAAATCAAACAAAGTGATGCCTGTTTTCAAAATCATCTTTTAACAGTTGATAAACTAAATAATAAGCCATGTTATCAGTAATATATATAAACAATAAGCAATGATATTTCTAGACAATAAGCAAGATTTATTTTAGACAATGAGTAAATAATGGCCTCATTTATAATCTTTCAAATAGATTTTAACAAAAGCATGTATCAACTGTATTTGAAAATTTCACGCGCTTTTAGAATATGGCGGTTAAGGTAAATATGATGGTGCACAAATAAAGTAAGTGTTGCATGGCGAACAAATAAAGTAAAGTGAGTGTTGCATGGCGAACAATTAAAGTAAAGTAAGTGTGGCATGGCGAACAATTAAAGTAAAGTAAGTGTTGCATGGCGAACAATTAAAGTAAAGTATGCGTTGCCAACTTTAACATTGCTACAAACGTATTGCAATATAAATTCTATACCAATATCAATGTTGCAAAATAACCATTTCACACATCAAACGTCTACTGTAATGTGAATCAACAAGCAGGGTTTAGCATGATAAGGATGATTGACATAATCTGTTTATTTAGAATATTCAGACGTTCAGAATACAATCTGTTGCAACTAGATAAGTCTTAAATGGACACACACTTCCTTACATACACGGTTTTTAATTTTGTACGATTTCGACTTTTGTGAAGCCAAAGACATCCATGTTTTGAATATGAAAACATATCTTGATGATGACGTTGTGTGTTAACTACGAGGCAATTAGTAAAATGAAACACAGAAAAATGCTCTAAATTTCACAGCCTGAATATTTTGCAGTTTATATTCTCATTCATACGACTACTATACTATTATGGTAGAAATACTTTATATTGCAATTCGTTGTCAAGAATCTGACATTGGTTGTCCATTTATATAAACATTTATGACGCAGGTCCTCCATATTGTTAAAGGAGCTGGATACAAAAAGAATTAGTTTCATACTAGTCTATGTAACTTTATAACAAATGTAGGACCTCCTGTCATAAATACAATATATTCCTTATTATGATCAATGTCAAAAAAGTTTATTATACAGCAGAATGTTATAACAGTCGCGATATACTTTTTAAACACATGATAAAAGAAAATATTTAAATAACCCTATATAAACAGTTTTAATAATTTTGAAAATAATTCTTTCTGTTGTATATTTGCAAACAGAAATATAAGATGCTGAGAAAGTAAAGAGTGGCGTTAGGTACCCACGTAAAGTATGAACAAATATAAAAAATAAATTGCCTTCATGTGACAAATACATATCAAGATAATTGTTATAACGGAACACAAACCTACTTTTGCAAATTGCAGGAAAATTGTACCATCATTATGGCTTGATATCTTAGTAATATACAAATACTTAACTTGTGATAGCTCATTTTCGATTATCAAATATCGGCTGTTACCATTATGCATAATTAGCAGTATTATTTCCCAAGAGGCATCTGGAAACTACGGTGTCATTTTATCAGTGCTCTGTAGTTTTCTTTGCTCATATTTTGATGTCTTCTTGTTAAGTTGACACGCTATTTTTGAATAATTTCATGTATTGATTTCTATATTGACAATAAATAACGTAAGAAACAATCTTAGAGTACATGGAATCTCTGAATATTTGAGCCGTGCCACGACAAAACCAACATAATGGGTTTGCGACCAGCATGGATCCAGACTAGCCTGCGCATCCGCGCAGTCTGATCAGGATCCATGCTGTTCGCTTAAAGACCATATAACAAGTAGAGAAACTAATAGCGAACAACATGGATTCTGGTCAGACTGCGCGGATGCGCAGACTGGTCTGGATTCATACTGGTCACAAACGCACTATGTTGGTTTTGTCGTGACGCGGTTCATTTCTTATTTGCTACTGCTGTTATGTTGCAATTTACTTTTGCCAGAAACAGAAAAAACTATAGGTGCTTTGTAACACAAGACAAATATTTCCATATCAATAATATATAAATCAAATAAATCAAAAGATTGTTTTCTTAAAGTAAAATATTTCTAAATGTTTCTTTTGATAACATTATCTTGTTACACTATTTTATATTTTTAATATTTACAGCATGGTATAAATAATAGTTTTAATTCTGACATTAAGAATATATACTTGCTTATGTTGACAGTCTTTATTTAAAAAAATGTATTTCAAAGATTAAATTCCATCTATTTTAGTGCCCAACAAAATTAACATAATTATAACACAAGGAAATAATTGAATACTTGCATGTTCACGAGTATTTTTTGAATATTCATTAATAAAGTGTTAAAAATGTCTATTATAATCTTCAGAGATTTGATGGTGACATGGACATCTGTAGAGAAGGTGAAGTTTGTGCTGATGTTTTCAACTTTACACGTGACCATGGTGACGGGACTGGAAGACTGGAATCAAGATTCATACAAAACTGCAAATGTCCGCCAGGAACTTTACCATGTGGACAAACAGGAACCCAGCTTATGTTTAAAGAAACGAAAACCCAGTCGTACGTTATAATCATGTTATTATGTGTGATTTATTTTCTTATTATTTAATTTGCAATTCAACTTGTCTTCAAGTGTATCCTGCTTAAGTCAAATAACAGTAATGGCTCCTTACATGTAACATGGTCATATTTTTCTATGTAAAAATTAAGATACATGCAATTAAATATTTTAATTCTTATCTTTCTAAAACTTTTAACAGAACTTTATTTGCAACCATTTCATTTTCGACCTTACATTGAGTAATCCAATTTCGTAATTAACCTTTTTGGATCGAAGCTCGTTTCAGAAGATTTCAGAATTGTTTTTTGATTAAGAAATTTAAAGCAAGAAATACACGGAGAAAACATTAAAGAATATTAAAACACAATCAAAACAAACTTGCGCTAAGATACTAAATCTGTTTTGTGTGTGTCTTTTTTTGTTATTAATTTTCGTGTTCATATTCGAACATTCTGGAATAATGTAGATCGTTTTATGTTCCTAAAGAAAATTGTTACATTCTTAATGTCTTATTGGTCAGTTTATTTTGTTTATTTAGAATGGTAACTTGCGAGTCAGCGGAGGACTTTGACTACTGCCAGGGAGACGAAATTGCTAAGGAACAACACAATTTGGGTTATTATGTTTACTACAAGGTTAGTTCTGAACTGTGAATTTCTCTGTTCATTCAAAACTGATTATATGAATGAAACTAAATAAAACAATTAACCAAAGAAAGGCTGTAAAAGCCCGCTGTTTGTAGTATTATATATCATATGAAGTTATCATTTGTTGACACGCACTTAATCATAGATGACAATGCCATTGGTTTTACTGGCTGCTAATAATAACAAATATATATACCTTTTGAATTTACAAAATATCTATTTTGTATCTCTTTAATATCTTACATTTAAAACGGCCACATTGAAAAATTTATTAATAAATGCAAAGACAACCCATTTTGTTCACATTTTTATTGTATTTTTCTTAAATTTTGTGGTATTGTGTATGTGACTAAGTGATTCTGAAATGGGTATTTTACATTTAATATATATATTGTTATAACTTATCTATAAAATCCGTATGTAAGTTTGCATTCCGAAGCATGTACCATATATTTTGGAAAGTGTTGCTTCAAATGAAAGGTCATAAGACCAATATTTTTTACAGATCAACTGTCTATGCCCAAACAACGACAACCCACGTGACTTCCGGAACAAGATGACAACAGTAAAGCGTTGGAACGAAATGAGCCCTGAGGAGCGAGAAGTTGCAGAAAGAAACCCAAGGTCAAGATTCTTCAAATGTCGGGACACAACTTCACGTGGACATGGATTGTTTTGAGAAGAAAAAAAATAATTCAATATCAAGTAGCTCAAAAATATGAGCATCAATTCATTTCCGCTTCATCTTGGTGACGAACATTGCTTATCAGGCTTGATTTTGTAAGAAAAAAAAACATGAGATAAATTAAACGCTGTTTACAAAACATTTCAAAGTAAATACATTCAATTCATTTGTATTAATTTCATTATTCAAATATTATTACTGACTATTGTCTTAGATAATTGTCCACATGCCATATACATGTCTTAACACAAAATAAAACCATGTCGTACCTTACCTTTTAATTCTGTATCATTCATTAGAATTCTTAAAGACAAACCTTATCGAACTGTCTAAAATACTTATATGAAATCTCCTTTCGGACTACTTCACTTTTGTTTCCGGTTGAATAAAATGAAAATTATATTCTCCTTTATATAGAATAGCATACAATGTCATTATATACAGAAACATCATCAGTGTTAACAACTGTACATAATTATATTTGAATAAACCATCTGACAGTATTATTCTCTTGTTTTATATTTTCGATTGTTTGAGGGAAAATTATTCCATATTTTACTTAAACAATACAATTAAAAATTAAAAGCCGTCGACGTTGAAGATAACTGAACACAATAAATTTTCTCGACATATGGCTAAATAATATAACATGAGCAAGGTTTGGCGCAATGTTCATAATATATGTCCTTACATATTGCAATGTTTTGATCTTTTGTTTCATAAAAAACTAATAAAGTGTATAAAGCTATAAAACTATTGTTTGAATTTTAAAGAAGAATACTCCCAAAGAGCTTTTTATGAAAGAAATATGGCTGTAAATTGTCTTTAAAAGACAATAGTACATGTACAAAACCATTGCTAAATGGATAAACACTAGTTAAAATAGCAACGTGATATTTTGTGAGATAAGACATTTTATGGTACACCTCATTCGAGAATCATCCGTTATATTATTTTAACAATATAATTATACTGTTGCCAAAATTCATAAAAATATCTTACAAGATATAGCTTTATACCCTTTAATCTCAATGTATACACATCAGCAATGAAGCGTTGTTTCAATAAAAAATATCATTTATATAACAAAACAATATATTTTTTCTATGTGTCTGGTGCTGAGTACAAATAGTTATCACCTTCAAGTAGTACATGTATATCTTTTTACATAGGCCATCTATGAAAAGATACTGACTAATTACCAAGTATTTTTTCTCAATTTGATGAATGTAAATAAATGAAATTTATCTTTTTCACAATGTACAAAATATTTGAACCAGTTTTGAAATGAAAAATTGCTTAAATCAAAAGTCTTAGAATGTGTTTCAGATTTTTATATGATTAAGCAGCATTGCACCTTGTTAATTATAAACAAGTTATAACACGCTGGGCTTTAAGTGAAGATATTGCAATGGTATATATAAATTTATAGCTTTTAATAAATAAGAAAATCTGACCAATTATTATCTTCCTAAGGATTTTAAACAGATATTATAATGTAAGAATTTCTGAATGATATTAGTATGTATAGATCATGGTATGAAAAAAACTGTTTGAAGTAATTTGAAACAAATAACATACTCAGTGTTTAATGGGCAAGATTGTTTTGCCAGTTTACCTGTTGGCTATATGGACAACGCCATTTTTGCTCTCGAAATCGTGAAAATTACCTACTCAGTATTGGTTTTCCAGCGGTTAAAATTAGAAACCACATCGCTTTCAAAATTATGAAAGCTCGCCGATGACTGGCTGTTTGAAAGGTCACGAGAAGGTGATTTCCAATTGGTGTCCCTCAGATCTCAATGCGTAGCGTTAATTATGACCTGATTTTAATCAGATTGCCAATTACTTAAAGTCTTTTTTTTCAATTAACTTACGAATAAGTATCATGATTTTAAAATTAGAATACAGCATTAAAAAGGTTTTATAATATGTCTGTGTACTGACAGTAAACAAGTTTGCACGGTAAAACAACGGTCACAAAAGTGGATCGGAAAAATCCTAACAAATTACAAACGTGATTCACATTGTATACTTCTTCTGACCTAGAAAACTATTAAAAAGTTTGGAAAAGCAATGGTGTAAAAGCGGATGACGTGACTCTCAAGAGGCCACTGTAGCCGGTAAAATCTACTTTGATAAATGCTATATACATCATGGAACCTATGACAGTGTTTGTATATGAATAAAAATAAAGTATTTATTACAGAGAAAACGAATGTTTGGGAACAGGAAACAATAATAGATATTCAATTTCTTGAAACCGAGATAATTAACATTTTTAGAGCCAGTTTAAATTTTGTATTATCTATGTATTAGAAAAATGGGTACTCATTATCATATAATACTCGCAGAAAATGATAAATCAGAAAGTGTATGTTGATACACGTGTTGGTTGTTACGCTTTCTTTTATTATTTAACAGTCACAATATTCATTCGCTATTAGAACACAAATTGATGTATACGACTGTTTCACATTAAACATTGTTTACGCTTATTTTGCCTTTATACACAACTTTACCAGAAAAGAGCTATATTTATTTGAGGCCAGACTACCACGTGTCAACAAAGTAATCTGATTATTTTACAGTGTAGGTCTAAAACGCCAGACTATAAAATAAACAAAAGGTATGTTTTTATTTCTTTAATTCCCCTTATCAGAGACAGATAAGTGTAGAAGTGATTGAATCAACTTATCTCAAATATGCATATTGATTTAGTCGGCAATAGAATATAGACAGGAAGTTTTTCTTTCGTTGCCAGCTTAATTTAGAAATTAGGTTATTGTTAATGATTTCATGAATTTCTTCATGGATTCAAAATTAAATTATTGACTGACTGCCTCTGTGTAAACTAGCACATTTGAACTTTCCGTTTGGCATGTCAAAACTTTATATTAGTCCTTAGGTACAATCGAAAATACATTGGATGTGTTTATAGTGTATTGAAAATTGATATGGACAGTATGCATATACAATTACATTTACGATAATTTTTTCTTATTCATTTTCTACATTAAAATACATATTTACATGTATACAAATTGAAACAATGTTAAACATACATGTGTCGAAATGGAATATTTTTAGAACCCTAAATCTATAGCATTAACAATCTTCACTACGCTATAAAGTCAAATTTTTTTAAGAAATGTAAAGTATGTATTGACTAAAATATGGAAGATATGTTTAATTTCTTTAGAAACAAAAATTGAACGTTTGATTGAAATTACAAACGTGTATTTCGAAAAGTCAGTTTCAACATACATGTACTTATATTTATTTATATATAAGATCAATTATAAAAAAGTTCTTTCATCTTATACATATTAGGAAAGGATAATGTGTCCGTATTGAAAACACGCCAATTCTTCCAGACACTTAGCATTACAATGTGATATTAAAGGTAATTTGAACTGGTACATTAATGCCTGTAATATATTATCCAAAATGATTATATTAGGGAATACAGCGCTTTAATGAAGCAAAATAAAAACCATAATGATAGCTTAAAGAAATAATTCCCGAAATATTTCTAAATGAAGCCAGTTTTTTTCTGAGGAGGATAACAGTTTCACCCCAATAATCGTCTATCAAACGGATAATTACAATCGTAGTAAAGCCGTGCGTTTGCATTTATTGTTTTTCGGAGACTTTAAAAGGACCTAGTCATACATTCCATTATACCAATCAATTATGCCAAGGTTTTAGCAAACATATTTCGGTGAGTCAGAAGAGGGACACATACTCCTAGTGTTTCATCTATATACAAGATCTTTGTGAATGTTCATATATACAATCAACTTATTTATACTGTTATGTCCGTGTGAGGTTTGGAAATCCCCTTTTAATCGCAAAATAAATCTGAAAAAAAATGTTTTGTCAGGAAATCATGTATTAACAAATAAAAACATAGTGTAGAAAGTGACAGTTTAAAAAAAATATAAAAATTGTCAAATTGAAAAATTTATGATTTTTTTTTTGTTTTCAAGATAAATTTTCCTTTTAAAATGACTCAGCGCTAATTTACTCAATCCTTAATCTTGATAAAATCAGTCGGATAAAACAATGATATTATTTTCATACCGTATACCATATTTTGATAAAAACAAGAAAATTGTAACAGATAAGTGTGAATTGGTCGTAATTTCTTGCGCGTCGTAGAGATTTAAAATATTAATACATGTAAATTACTTTTCGGTCAAAATGCATTGCACTCACTGACATAAGTTTTAAACATATTTACAGTTAGTCAAATAAAGCTGTCGTGAGTTACAAGAAAATGATGGAGTATGGTTATCAAAGCTATTTATTCTAATGCATTTAGTTTACGTTTGGCATCATGGTATTCCTATTATAATATTTACTGTGGACATTCACATAATGCTGTATGACCAAGAAAGGTCAATGCTAATTTTTGTTATAAATTTTGTATTTGTATATGTGTAAATGCTCTTAAAGGACAGACAGACTCCTAAAGAAATAGATCAAACATTCCAACAGCGGCATATTTTCTTTTCACGTATGTATATGAGGAGGTAGAAGAATAGCTTCTTAGAATGTATGGTTTTAGCAGTTATAATGGTTAGAAGGATGTTTGTCATTGTCTGTTATTGTAATAAACATGTATTCTGACTATTGACTACTCTGACAAGCATTGCTCTATAAGGCTCGTGTATAACAAGAGAACATTATGGGGAATGATATAACGTCACCGCGCTCACAAAGTGAGAAGAAAGGTTTCCATTCATAACCATATTTGATGAAAGCTGTGCCAGCAGAATAATACTTTTTCAGACATTGATGTCTATTATCAACCTGTCTTATTACTGTATGATAAGAGGGGTTATATGGCGTTATGTAAATTTGCCGCCTGATTTCTGACAAAGATGACATGATATGAAAAAGTAAAAATCGTAACTACTAATTATGATAGCTTCATTATGAATAATTATATTGAAAGGGGCGGGGCGCGGCGGTCTTCGAAGACAACTGGGAAGCGGTTTCATGATGGGGTCTAATGACCCTCGGTTTGATTGAACCGGATCATGATGACATACACTGAACATTTAACGTTTCTTACATCCCTAGCACTGTTTATAAAAATATAATAATTATTAGAATTTCGACATATTTAAAATCAATGATCCTGGGTGAGAAGACAAATATATCTGTAATGACATTAATTTCAAATCACTTAACAAATATAAGTAACGTTTGTATACATTTTTGAAAATAAAAAGACTATCCTGCTTACAATATAATTGATATCTACCAAACATCAAGAAAACTCTATCTTAGGCATTTCGGCATATTTGCGTTGTTATATTTGTAAAAGTTGTTCTTTCAAACGTTACAAAATTCCGAAACTGTTACAACATGAACCAATTCTGACACATGAACAATATTTATTTCATGCTTTCCAGTGTTTTATTGTAATATATCAGATGATTATATAGAGGATATTTGTTTGTTTCAGTGTAAGATCGAAAAATATTTCACC